ATTTCTGCAGACCTGTTTCCACTGCTGCAATTCTGGCCTGTGTTGGGCCATGTACGGCATCTGCATATGCTCGGAGCTTATCTTCGCCATATCGAGCACGGTCTCATCCCTCTCATCCCACTTCATTATTGCTAAAGTAGAAGCGTATTCATGTGGCCCAAGCCATAAAAGTTTTTGCTACATCACAGATGTACATGGTACTGATTTATTAAAAAATATATGGATATTGATCTAGCACCAATACCCAACTGTGACGGACAAAAACTCTCAAACAGTTTAAAGTTAGAAAGTGTATGTTTATTCGATGCCGGGCAGCGTGCGGGATAGCTCCCAAATACACATCACAGCTTCCAGGTGATTACAGAGTCCTTTTATGCATACAAATATTGAATACCCAAAATACAAATACATATTCATAATTTTGGTACATCCCATTCCTCGCTTCGTATGCTAATCACTCCAAAAGCTATTAAGCACGCATAATTTGTTCCTTGAAATGGGTCAGTGGTCCCTTTCATGGGGAGGGGTCCCAAAATGAGGAAGTAAATGAAGTCTTCCTCGTTCTGACCTTTCAACCTTTTCAGTGGAAATATGACAAATGAACTCTTGGTAGAACTCTCATTCTTTGTCTTCAATTGGTTTTAGAACAGAGGAGGCCCACAATTGTCTTATGTTTCTAAAAGCTATTTGTCAGTTTCTATATTCTTCATTATAAACCCAGCTAACTAAACATTGTGCTGACAAGCAATCAATTATTAGTTAACTACTAACTCTTAACTTCATCAAGGCCTACTCATTTATTTTAATTAACTCTAGCAAGGCTTATCTCTAACTAAAATCTTAGCTCCTCTAAAATCTCTAAATTCTTTAAAATTTATGTTTCAGTACTATGTCTGGATTCCTAGTTGTTATTTCACCTGAGAAGATAATCTCTGCCACTGCCATTTCTCTCAGGCGTTGGATTGCTTGTTCTATATCTCTCACTGAGTCTGCTGCATATATAGATCATCTGCACACAGGTATCTTTGTGCTACACGTTCCAGAACCCTTGCCCAGAGGCTGTGAGGGTTAGCCCCCCTCATAATTCCTTGATCAATGACAGGATCATGTGACATGGACCCCAAATGCCTCGCTTCAGTGCCATCCAGATTTGGAACCTCGCCTGCAGCATCCCAAAGACGGACCAACCAACTAATTATAGACTCATCAGGTCATTGAGTGTAATCCTTTCTTAGGCCACGAAGGTCCTTTAGGGAAAAGGACTCAGTACTGGCCTCTGATCTTGTACCAGTTGCTTTGACTCCTGATTTTATGTCAGCAGGCGTTGAGGGTCTTTCTCCTGCATTATCATCATCATCATCATCCATTGGTCGATCAGTGTTTTCTGTGCACTTTCCACTTCTTGTGCTAGTAGCAACAGCCATTGGTTGAGGCTTACAGTCTGGTTTAGCTGCTAGCCTAGGCTCACTGTCTGGTTTAGCTGCTGGCTTTGAGCCGGGGGTGTTGGCTGCAGCCTGAGTGACTGGGATAGCTGCTGATTTATCTCCCTGCCCCCCTTCCTCTGTCTGCTGCCCTACAGTATCTAGCAGGGTGCGATAAGCATATGCCAGGGCCCAGCTTACTGCAATGATCTTTTTCTCCTTAGAGTTATCATGGCACTTCTCTTTCAGGTACTTTGCCACCTCAGCTGGATTCTGAATTTGTTCACATGGAAAGTCCCAGGCTATAGGGTCAGAAAATTTCTTTCAGATTTGGCCCATATCCTCCCATTTCCCACACCACTCAGGATTTCTCACACCTGGGTCTACTCCTGGGTCAGGGGTCTCATCAGCCCCTCTAGAAATCTCAGCCCTCATTCTAGAGAGACTGCAGACTGTATAGAGAAAGCTTACCAGATTAAACACCAGGAAGATGGTCTCTTTAACAGTCAGGGGAAACTGAACATTCTCTAATAGGGAGGTAACAAATTCAGAGGAGAAGAAGGAAAGCAAAGGCTGAAAAGCCTCATCCCCTGCTTCCCCTCTAACAAACTGGCTGTACAACTATGACCATGAACCATACATTCCAGGAACAGACCTCAGCACCTTTATAAACCCCCTGCAAGCCATTACACCCAAGCCCAGCCCAATGGATATTCTGGTCTGTGACCCTCTACTGCAAAAAATACGTATTAGGGACAATACCGGAGCTATTCCTGGATAAAAAAATAAACCTAGGGACCATAGAGGGATTAAGATCTCAAGAAACTCTAGGGACCAGAAAGACATGGAAGCCTGCACCCCAAGAGACAATATGAATTCAAACAACATAGCCAGTAACTGCTCCATACCAACACAAAGTAATTGGAACCAAAATATGATTACAACAGGTTTTTTTCCACTTTCTCAAGCCACGAGTCGGGTACCAAAATATTTGTCCTGGTTTAGGGCAAATTTGGGAGAAAACCCCTGGAAGAAGCCCCCAGAAAACAAACCCCCCCACGGGCCCTCCCCCCCACCTGGTTCGGGGAGAATTTTCTCAGAGAGGAGTGGGAAGAACCTGTTTATTTAACAAACAAAACACTCCCCAGCACCAAAAAAATGAACAACACAAGATGACAAAAAAAAACTCTTTCACCACTCTGATGAGATGACAAATCCAGAAATTCTCTCTTGGGAATGATCGCCCGGGTCTAGGCGCTGGGGATTGGTCTCCGGCACTGGGGATGGCTGCTGCAAATCACAAAATGCAGGCTCTCGGTATTTCTTGGTGTTTCCCAGATCCCAGTCCAGAGCAGGTTGGAATGATATTCAGGAAAGGGAAAGGGAAAAAAAAAACAGACCAGGGAAAGAATTGGACTGCTTAGCTAAACTAACTAACAAGCAAAAGCAAAGGCAAAAGCAGAAGCAGGAGCAAGAGCAAGCAATCAAAGCAACCCAGCAAAAGCAAGCAAGCAAAGCAAAGCAAGCCAGCCAGCACTAGCCTCTTCTAGACAACAGACCATGGGGGGAGGTGAGCCAGCTGATAACAAGGCAAAACAAACCTTCACTTTCAGAGTCAGTTCTGAAAGCACAGAACATAATATCAAACATAAACAGTACACATGATTGGGGATACAAGCACCATAAGGTCACCCTAGGACAACTGGACAGCTGACAAAGTGGGAGTATTAGTTTGTTTTAATGGCCTCAGGATAAATTCACTTAATACTTTTGGGTAATACAAAGCTTTAAAAACTTTAATGTTTAGATGTCTTGTGAAAACTCTCCACAGACATGCAAGTGTTAATGTGCTATTTTTGTTACCTTTTTTAATGATGTAAGAAGGGTACCTACATGTTATATTGCCTGGTAATGTGTCACACAATGTCTTGATAATGGAAGTACCTACATATTAGGTGAACCTAATGTATTCAAGTAAACCCACTGAAGCTATCAGAATTAATTAACGACGAAGATAAGGTTGGGTGTGAAAGCTCATGGGCTTGGGTAACAAGAAAAAAAAACCCCTATACTTTCAGGAAAGTGCAGATTAAATACATTTAATAGCAATGTAGTAGCCCATGGTGGACCCCATGCTGGAGCAGGTAGATGTTCCCTGAAGGAAGCCGCAACCCATAGAGAGTCCATGTTGGAGGAAGCTCTTGGCAGGAACTGCAGTTTGTGGAGAGGAGCCCACAGGGGAACATGTTTTCTGGCAGGAACTGTGGCCTTGTGGAGGACCCACTCTGGAGCAGTCTGTTTCTGACAGACTGCAGCCTGTGGGAAGGACCCACATTGGAGAAGTTTGCAAAGGACTGTCTCCCATTGGAGGGACCCCACAGTGGAGCAGGGAAAGAGTGTGAGGAGGAAGGAGCAGCAGAGACAATGCGTGATGAACTGATCACAACCTCCATTCCCCATCTCCCTCCACCATTTGGAGGGGGAAGGAGGTAGAGGAGTTGGGATTGAAGCTGAGCCCGGGATGAAGGGAGGGATGGGGGGGGGGGGGGAAGATTTGTTCTTATTTCTTATAGTATTACTATCTGTTTAATGGGCAATAAGTTAAATTAATTTCCCCACATCAAGTCTGTTTGCCTGTGAAAGTAATGGCTGAGTGATCTCCCTGGCCTTATCTCAACCCACAAGCTTTTTGTTGTGTTTTCTTTCTGTCTTGTTGGTAGATGGGGAGTGAATAGAGCATCTTGGTGGACATCTAGCAGTCAAGGTCAAACCACTACACTATACAAAATTCCATCTCATTGAGCAGTGCTGTCATTCTATGTGAAGACAGGCCCAGAAGTGGTCAATTAACACTAGATCTTATGAATCATTCTGGGATTTTTGCATCTAGGCTTTTATGAGATATTTTTAAAACACTGTACAAGCACCACAACTTCCACTGTGCTGAGAAAGTCTGGATCCAAGTACCAGAGCATCAAGAAAAACTACCCCATGCTGCATTCTGTCAGAATACTCCCCAATTTTAACTAGAAACTAACCCACCGGTAAGGCCCTACTTGCGGCTTGAGGCATAGCATCATCTGAATAAGCACATGAGTACCCAGCGAGACCTTCATCACTGTGTATTTGGCGGCTGGACACGAAAACCGGTTTCTTCTCAATCCCCCGCTCCCTCCGCTCCTAATGGCTAGAGCCTGTGGCATCGCCCCTCGCCCGGAATCTGCTCCCCTCTGCCCCGCACCGTAGCATCCGCGCTAGGGTGCCTCACTAGAGCTGTTCTCCCTGTAGGCAGCAGCATAGCACTGAGCAAATTCCTGATTTTGTTTGTTTGGTTTTGTTTTGTTGCACCGGAATGACCTGCGAACAGCCCTGCTTTCCCTATAGACCTACGTGAGTATTTATTGCCTCACGCTTTGGTAGTGCAAGAGATTCGCACAGTTGTTTTCAATTTCGATGCCTTAGATCGGGAGAAGAACAAACTTTGGCACGATCTGGAGAGATCTGCCTTTTCCTGTTTGGTTGTTGTGACGTCATTTGGTGTGGGGGTTGGTTTTATGTTTGTTTTCTCCGAGGCAGGAATGGTGGGGGGCTCCCTATTCTTTTCTCCCCTCCCTGTATCCCTTACACGCCTCAAGAGGGAGCAGGGAACCCCCATCTTCTTTATTAGCTACCTTACGCTCCGCGCTCTGCTGCCTACTCCCTGAATGAGATTAAGATACTAAACGCGCAAGTACAGCTCACCAATCTGCCCTTTCCTCTGTCGCTAGCTAACTAGCTTCCTCCCCCTTGTCTTCTTTGCTCCGCCCGTGCAGTCGCGTGCCCTCGCTGGCTTTTGGGGGAGGGGTGGGGTGAGAGCGTAGAATTGTATCTCTGCAAGAGTTGCTCCCCTCGCGGCTGCACAGGGGTAAAGTAGCAGTGCTGGGGTCTTGACGAATTACTCTAGGCACTCAGACGGTTATTGTTCAGAGCCTGTCTGCTGGAGAAATCTTCTACTAGCTCCACTCCCCGCAGGCGGAGGCGCGGGGAGGAGGAAGTCGTTGCCACCTCCCCGGAGTGCTGCGTTCGGTGGGGGAGGTGGAGGTAGGAGGGAGTGAGGCTCAACATGATGGCGGCTGAGGCCGGGGTTGAGGAGGGCGGCTCGGTTACCGCTGCCGGGATGGTGGGAACTGTTCGCGGAGCTGAGTCGGAGCACTACCCCACGTTTTGCCGAGGCAAGGAGCTGGGGTCGCAGGGCCCATTCCTGGCTGGCTCTGGCGGGGACAGCCTGGGCGCTGGCGGTCCGGCGTTGTGCTCGGCGCTGGGGCTCCTGGCGTTAAGCTCCGGGCCTGCCTCTCTGGCCTCCCGAGACGCACTGCCAGCAACTGAACAAAGGCCGGAGGTGTCCGGAGAGGTGCTGCTCCCACCCAAACCCAGCACTGTCGCCTTTCCCCCGCTGCCGCCACAGCCACCTTCCTTGGCGGGGGGGCTGGGGATTGTGGATGAAGGTGACTCGTTGGATGGGCCCGAGTATGAAGAGGAGGAGGTGGCCATCCCGCTCAACGCTCCCCCCACAAACCAGTGAGTAGCAGCGTTTCTGGACCCCGTCGGGTGTCTGCCACCCCTGGACGTTTCCCCCGCGGGGAAGGGGGAAAGGGGCGCCGCAGTGGGCAGCGCCGCGTCAGGCCTACACACTTTCTCAAACTCCTGTGGAAGTGTCGTAGAAGTTTTTCATTAGGTTATGTTTGGAAAGAAAAAACAATTGAAAAAATTATCTGTAAGTCTTCGTTAATATTTTTATTATACTTTTCCTTCCATCAGGTTGATCGTGATTCCTACAATGCTAGTTATATAAAGAATCTTGCACTAGAGGCAGAGCAGTTCTCCAGTTATATTTTGCGAAATAAAAAACAAAAATCAGATAATGTTATATAGAGTTCACGTAACTGGCGAGCGCGCTAAACAACCTTTGGATTTAACAGTGAACTAATTCCAGGAAGTCTGCAGATTTACATAAAAAGGTAGCAAGGCTTGTGCCCTGTTTTCGCTGGACTACAAGTTATTTTCTTCCCAGTAGCTGGTATAACGCTGTATTTTGGATTTAGGATGATAATAAGGTTGATAACACATAGATGTTTTTAGTTGTTTCTAAGCAGTGTTTACACGAAGTCAAGGACTCTTCAGCTTTTCACATCACTCCACCAGTGAGTAGGCTGGGAGGGAACATAGCCAGGGCAGGTGACCCAAACTGGCCAAAGGGGTATTCCATACCATATGGCATTATGCTCAGCATATAAACTAGAGGGAAAGTTGTCTGGGGGTTGCTGCTCAGGAACTGGTCGGCAGGTGGTGAACAACTGCATTGTACATCACTTGTTTTGTATATTCTAGTTTATTAGTGGGGGGAAGAGTGAGGGAGTGGCTGTATGGTGTTTAGCTACCCACCAGGTTAAACCACGACAGCTTGTATTGGAACAGCCTTCAAGTAAGTACCTGATTCTCCCCAAAATGAAACAGTTTCAAAGGCTTAAATTGCTTATGTTGGCATATAGAAATATGTTATTTCTGAAGTTGTAGTAAATATAGAGAATAACATGGTCTCAAGGTAGAGGATGGCAGATATATTCAAGGTATAGGTCAAAATTAATCTGAAAATCCATCTGAATTTGAGTTAATTTTTACCATCTTTCATAACTGGTGTTGGAGAGTTCATTTCTGTAATATTAAATGTTTGTTTTTTAAAAGTAATCTCTAACCATGGCAGGCTTCCTACTAATCCTTTCCTCTTTTGGTTTCTTGACTTTTTGTGAAAGGTGATAAAGAATAAGACCTTGTTTTGTGAAGACAGTGTTTGAATAGTCTTAAAGTTTTATACTTCCATAAAGAGCTAGCAATATAATCAGGCAGTTTAAGATAAAGACTGACGAGGGAAATAGAGGCACATAAAGGTGACGTTACTTCTTCAGAGAGAGACAGTATCCTGTTCTCTCTGAACGATCTGACTACTTTTTCTGTTAAAACTGATTATTATGTATCTCAGAAAGTAAGGTTGTGCTTTTTTTCAAATATTTTTTAGAAAAAGAGGTAATTTTTGGTGAATGATCATGTATTTGATATTAAGTAATCATTACTACTTTCACAATTTTAAGTGGATTTTGCTGTCAGAGTATTGTAACTCACATGATAGCATGAAGGTTAACTTTCATAAAAGAGGATACAAAATTTCTGACAAAAAGCATGACTGCGAAGGCCCTGATTTTCTCTGTTGGTCCATGAGGCTACTTTGCTTGTTAAGACAAAAGCAATATTGAAGCCTTTGCAGGACCAGCATAACTGTGTAGTTGAGTATTTGTTCTTGTGGGTCCTTCAGTATAAAAACATTTAGGCAGCAAAATAGATGTTGAAAAATTGATTCAGAAATTTATATCTCCATCTACTTACCTGTTTTTTCTTTGTAACGTAAAATTTTTGTGACTTTTTAAAAAAAAAGTTGTTGGCTAATTAAAAATAATCAGAATTTCTTTTCTCTTTCATACATCTATTTTGATGCAAAGTATTTTTTTACCATTGTCAGTTAAGTAATTTTAATTAGCTGCACGTTGATAGTAAGTTTTATTCTTTCAGTCCTGATGTTTTATTTTGGAAGCGTACTTTGTAGTCATACTATCTGTTTTTATAGAATTGAACAAAGATCTGTCACTTTAATATTATAAGCAAAAACCTAATACACTTCCTCTTTTCCAAGTACCTCAGGAAAATGGAAATAAATTTTAATAGGATTAATTTTGTAGCAGTGGGAGGAGCTTGTCAATATGTAACAAATTCTGCTAATTAAAAATACTCAAAGTCCAAACTATGATTGATTGATATTTCCCTTTGGTCATTATAACAGCCTAAGGAGGCACTGCCAAGCTATAGGTTCAGGATACAGTAAGAGATGATAGACCAAACAGCTTTAGGGATAAACAAGCTACTGCTAAATAGAGATCAGTAGTACAATTATCTGTGGTTTTACAACACATTCAATAATTCACTAGTATAATTATCCATGTCAAAACAACAGCAAATCCAGTCATTTACCAGTACTGGGCTAAACTTAATACCCATGAGTGCAAAGGCTTACATAACCATGGTTATTGAGCAGGGTGGCAAGAAGCAGGGCATGGCTTCTTTGGATGAATGACACAGACCAGCTGATGCACTCAGGGAATTCAGACTTCCCTGATTGGGCTGACCTCTTTAGTTGTTGAATTGTGGAAGCACTATATGGATATGTTAACCAATCATCACACATCCTACCTCTGTTTCAGTTCTGTCCTTAGTGTGCAGAGGGCATGCAAATACTGTACAAAGCAATGCACCACAATCCTGAATGAGACTGACTTAATGATTGTCTGTTCAGTGTATACTTTTTCATTTGAGTATAGAAGTAGTATGTTCATGCTGTAACTTAAGGGTAGGTGGGAGGCACAGGATGCTAGGTAATAGAGCGGATAATTCCCTTTGTCTGTTGGGTGTTTTTCTCTGCACTATATCTACCTCATCTGCAAAGCTTACTGCCAGAGGTTGATGGCAGTCTGAAACGGTGTTACAGAAATGCCTACAAAGTTAAGGAATTAATGATACTTAATTTACTAGTAAACTGGTGATATGTGAAATAGTTTAGTTGTTTATGTATTTGAATAAAAATATTATATCTTAGTGTTGCATTAAGATGGCAAAAGCAGTTCCAGTATATTCTGACACAATTAATATTTTCATATGGTGTTTCTTTAAGTGGTGATTATCACATTGAAATGAAAATCCTTTGAAATCCTTTGATAACAAAAATCCTTTCCATGGTAAATGTATTGTTACAGTCACTCTTGGTATCTGTTGAGACAACATTAGTGAGAAAAAAAAGAGAGAGAGCTGGGTAGAGAAGTATTTAACAAATGTGGTTTGAGTAAAAGGAAAAAATGTTTTGTCTCAATATAGTGTGAAGTTATAGTTTCTTCAGCTGAATTTGTCAGAGGTAGCAAGTCCAGAGTTATACAACATTTGTTTATTTCAGTAGCTAATAAAATGTTTTTCTGGAAGTGCATAGCTTTACAATAATTATTGAAGGCTATACTCCATACCAAAGAATAAATTTGTATTGCATTGAAAAAATGAGGGGAAATACTATTGGCATGTTTGGACTCTACAACTTCTCTGAGCAGCCTGTGTCCAGTGCTCAGTCACCTTCACAGTAAAAAAAAAAAAGTGTTTCCTCATGTAAAGACAGAACCTCCTGTGCTTGAGATATAGCCCATTGCATGTTGTCCTGTCACTGGGCATGACTGACAATAGCCACTCTGTCATCTTTGCACTCTCCCTTCAGGTATTTGTATATGTTGATGAGATCTCTGATCTCTTGGCTAGACAGCCTTTCCTCATAGGAGAGATGCTTCAGTCCCTTCATGGCCCTTTCTTGGACTCACATCATTATGTCTGTGTCTCTCCTGTACTGGGGAGCCCAAAACTGGACATGGGGCTCCAAATGTGGCCTCACCAGTGCTGAGTAGAGGGGAAGAATCACCTCCCACAACCTGATGGCAACATTCCTCCTAATGCAACCCAGGATACCATTTGCCTTCTTTGCAGCAAGGGCACATTGCTGGCTCACATTTATCTTGGTGTCCACCCGGACTCCCCAGGTCCTTTTCTGCAAAACTACTTTCCAACTGGTAAGCCCCCAGTATGCGTATTAGTGCCTGGGTTTATTCTTCCTCAGGTGCAGGATTTTGCACTTCCTGTCATTGAACTGCATGAGATTCCTGTCAGACAGTTTCTCCAGCCTGTCAAGGTTCCTCTGGATGGCAGCATGACCCCTTGGTGTATCAGCTGCTCCTCCTGTTTCTGCAAACTTGCTATAGATATGCTATGCCTCATTGTCCAAATCATTAATGAAGGTGTTAAACAGGACTAGACCCAGTATTGACCCCTGGGGTACATAATGGCCTCCAACTAGATGTGCTGCTGACCACCATTTTCTTGGCCTTGATATTCAGCCAGTTTTCGGTCCACCTCACTGTTTGCTTATACTGCCCATATATCAAAAGCTTCTCTATGAGGATCATATGAGAGTGTCTCGGTCTGAAAGACAAATGTCTGCCAAGGAAGGCAGGAACCTCCCTTGGAATGGAGAATATGACCCTCTTCCCTCCAAATTATTATAACTTTGAAATTAAGGGGCTTTCAGGCAAGATATGGGAAAAGGAATAACAGTTCTTTACTAGTATGTATATGGATAACAAGGCAAACAAACAACAATAATGGCAGCAACAACAAACAAAACCAGAAACCCAGTAACAGCCTTCTCTCGGCTGGGAGGCACATTCTCCTTTGGTGTAGTTATGGTCGCAGCTGGTAGGGGCACTGGTGGCTCCCCGGCCGGGCAGGGCAAGTGCGATGATTCCCCTGCGGCTGCAAGGGGCGCTGTGACGTGAGTTCGGCCGTCTCTTTCATGTGTACAATGGCGGATGCAGACGGCGGAAAGGGATAGAGAAGGGGCTTCCTTTACAAACCTCCACGGGCAACCGATCCCGGTGCCACCTCTG